TTTCTTATCCTCCTTACGATATACTGAATTCTCCTTGGCACATCGACTGAACTTCATTCCTTTCAATACTTGATCCAGCTTTGTGTTCCACACTCGTGGAGCTTGTTTTAACGCGTACAGTGCCTTTGAAAGTTTGTAGACCTTATGCTCGTTGCCTTTAACCTCATAACCTTCGGGCTGTTCAACATACACATCCTCTTTTAACTCACCATACAGGAAAGCTGTCTTGACGTCTAGATTTTCCATCCTTGTGAAGCTGCTAGAGCACTTAGCAAACGGATTGTTTCAAGTCTAGCAACTGGTGCGAAAACTTCATCATAATCAATGCCTGATTCTTGTACATATCCTTTAGCTACAAGCCTCGCTTTGAACTTCTTGATAGTACCATCTGCATTCCTTTTTATTTTGAAAATCCACTTGAGGCCTATTACTTTTGCTCCAAGTGGTTTCTCAACAAGTAGCCATGTCTCGTTCTTGTTCATAGAATCTATCTCTTCTCCGCAAGCACCTCCCCATTTTGATGAGCCCTTTGCTTCTTTATAACACCTTGGTTCATCATTGATGGATAGTAAGAGCCTCTCAATCTCTAGCTCAGCTTGTAAGACGTAATCATCTAAATATCGAGGCCTGCTTGTTTGCCGTGTTGACTGTCGTAGTGGTTGTTGATTTTGATGAGGTAGATGATCTGCTTGGATTGGATTGTCAACTTCTTCATGATCACTTTGATCATCGCTGCCGAGAATATCTTCCTCATTCTCGTTGATGATCACTGGTCCTTCTCCAGCATCTAACACCTCTCCCCATGTCATCTGAAACAAACCTGGATCTCGTATGGTTTCAGATGTTTTACTCCAATTCCAACTCTTCTTTTCGTCAAACTCTACGTCTTGACTAACTACAATTCTTCGTGTAGATGGATTGTACAGTCTATAAGCTTTGGATCCTGGCTCCGTTCCAAGATTAAAAAATGCTAAAGACCTATCATCTAACTTCTTTAGCGTTGCAGCATCTATTTTAGGGTATGCTAGAAATCTGAAAACCCTAAGATGGTTTAGGTTAGGTTTCTTCAAGCGCAAGCATTCATATGGAGTCATCTTCTCAAGAGCTCTCGTTGGTACACGATTTATTATGTAGGTTGAATGGCGAACTGCTTCTCCCCACATAAAGTTTGGTACTTTCATAGCTTTTAAAGTACTCCTCGTCATCTCCATCAAGGTTCTATTCCTTCTCTCCACCATGTCGTTTTGTTGCGGTGTGTAAGGAGCCGTTAGGTGTCGTTTGATCCATTGGTGTTGCAGAACTCAAGAAATTCTTGTGAAGTAAATTCACCTCCTCTATCAGTTCTGAGTGTCAAGATCTTCTTCTCAAGATCCTTCTCGACAAGCTCCTTAAACGCCTTGAACCTACTATATGCACTCTTATCCTTCATCAAGATTGACCACATGTACCTTGAGAAATCGTCTATGATCACAAATATATATCTGTTATTTGCGATGGTTGGTGGAGTGATTGGACCACATAGGTCAGCATGTAGTAGTTCCAGTGGTTTCGTTGCTCGGAATGTAGCTTTCTTTGGAAAGGTTTTTCGAGTTTGCTTTCCCACCAAGCAAGACTCGCAGAATCTTGTTTCATCTTTGATTCTTGGCAAACCTTGCACCATCTCCTGCTGTGACATGGCTTTGATCGTTTTAAAACTTACATGTCCCAACCGTGCATGCCACTTCCATGTTTCGTCTTCTATTCTTGAGCTTAGACACAAAGGCTTTTCGGTTTTGAGTTTTATCTTGTAGAGTCTATTTGGTGTGCGTGTGACTCTAACCAACAGTCTCCCACTTGGATCATGACGGTCAGAAATTCTTGTTTCATTCTAACATCACATCCCACTTCCGTAGCTTGTCCTAAACTTAGGATGTTGCTCTTGAGATCCGGAATGTAGTAGATGCTAGTTACCAATTTTTGCTCACCTGTTTTGCTTTGAAACAAAATAGATCCCTTGCCTTCTATCTTCACATGTGAGTCATCACCAAACTTGACTCTACCTTTGATGTTGCGGTTTAGTTCTGAGAAGTATGATACGTTGCCAGTCATATGATTTCTGGCTCCGTTATCTAAGTACCACATATCTTCCTCTCCTTGCTTTGTTTCGTATATCTTTGGTACTAGATTTTCTTCATTTAAAAACACAAGCTCGTGCATATAGAGTGAAGGATCGGCATCCTTTGTCTCTACTTTTTTTGCCTCCTGTATTTTCTGAAGTCTTTCTGGACACACGGATGTGAAGTGGCCAGTCTTGTCACATCTAAAACAAACTATCTTTGATCTGTCCTTCTTCTCCTTTTCTTGACTTTGATCTCGTTGATTTGTTCTATCTTGTGAGTTGAATCTGCCACGATCTCTTCCACGTGAATTACGGCCTCTTCCCCGTCCTCTTGAGCTCTCGCCTCTGTATGATTCAGTTTTAGAAAACAGCAAGTTCCCTTGAGTCTCATCTTGACTAGTTTTATTGCGTATACGTTCCTCGTAAGCTTTGAGTCGTCCTACTATGTCTTCGAAGCTTGTCGTATTCAGGTCTAGGACCTGCTCATGTAAGGCTTAACTTCTTCACCATTAATGCCTCATCAAACGTATCTCCTAGGGTTTCGGCTGTTGCAGCTAACTCCGATATCTTCCCGGCGATTGTATCTACAGAATCCGGCTCTTTCATAGTTATGCGCTCAAACTCATACTTCAAAGATTGAAGTCTTGCATCTCTAACTCGGTTTGTTCCAAGGTTTCTCGCCTTGATAGCCTCCCATATAGCTTTTGGTGAATCTAGATTACCAACTTGTAATATAAGATTCTCAGGTATGGATGAAAACAATAAGACAGTTGCAGTATCGTTTTTCTTTGCATCTGTTCCCAGTATCTATTGCTTTCCATACCTCATGATACCGTAAGGTTACCTTCATTCGCATTGACCATACGGTGTTGTTCGATGTTGTTATTATCGAACAAGTAATCGATGACATCGTGAGCCCTTTTGGTTTCGTTGGAGGTTTAACATCATCCATGTCTTGAGCTTCTCTGGCTATCGATTGACCTTGTGCTCTGATACCAAATAAAGTGAATCGAAAATCTCAGAAACTATAAAGAACTTGCTCTCTTTATTAACTTGTCTCAGAAAATATAGCTCAAAAAACTAAGACAATCTTTCCCTCTTTCGTTATTCCTATACCACAACTCGGTATGTGTATATATAGTAGAGATTTCCTATTTCTAATAGTTATAGATAACTCCTAATACTACTAGATTTATGTTTAAGCTTATCTTATCCTTAACCAACTTGTTAAAGGATATCTTGAGATCCAAGTAAATCAAAGCTTATCCAACAATATGTTCAAAAAGTTCAGAAGGATTTAATTCAAGTTTCTTATTTAAAAATGTTATTACTTTTCATACATTCATGTTTGCTAGTATTCTATAAGTTGTAATAATATAAGATTAGAGTTGATATAAAGACCTATTCATTATTAGAGGTGCCCTCCTCCATGCAATCGACCTAAATATCAACCATATTTGGCTACGCTCAGATTTCTAAGTGCTCATCGAAGCTTTATTATCGGGAGGACGATCGATCGAACTCTAGTGAGTGCTCTCGGACATCACTTCGGTTTCTTCCTCATCTTTTTTTTTCCGCTTTTGAAGCACATTATATTCATTGTTTCATCATTGATGATGATTAATGATTGTATACTAATTTAGTGTAAGATTATTATTATAATTATGAAATATATAAACCAAAAATCCAAGTTATGGTTGTACTAATCATTTTGAAATGAAATTATTAATTAAATATATATTGTGCTGGATTTTATTAGTCTTAATTAGTATTTCAAAACGGCCCAAAATAATTGCCAAATTATAGGTTTGACATTTTTAATTTTGAGAATATGAAATCAAATATAATTTCTAAGATGTTAACATATATTGTGTTAGTAGGTTCGTTATAAGATTTTATCAAATACGAGGTAAGAATATTTCGCCATCGTTTGAAATTTTAAGAATTTTTTTTTTCTTTGAGAAAAATTCAATTTATAAGAAGTTAAATTAAGAAGTTCTGCTATGATTTATCTGTGGTTTAGATATGTTTAATATTATAATCATCACTACACCCATCCACGTCATATAAGAAGAATTTTCTATCCGATCATTGATTAGATACAAACATTATTAACTTCTACGACAATTTTTTTTAGAGAAAATGATTAAAATAGACCTAAAAAAATTATCACAAATATAGATCTTAATAATTAAAATAACTAAGATATCACTTAAATATTTTATTAAATATACATTTATACCATTGTGTTAACTAATTCTAGATTTTTTTTGTTTAGAGTTGAGGTGTGGGGTTTTGAGGATATGGTTTCGAATTTAAAAAAAAAAATAAGAAAACTTAAAATTTTCAAACTAAAAAGTGCTATTTTTGATCATTTTAATTTTTGAGGTGTATTTTTGTAATAAAAACTTAAAAGAGGGTTATTTTAGAGAATTTCCCATTTTATTTTGGAAAAATAGTTTTATTAATATACATAAATATAGTAACTGGTATTTTAATTTAGAAATAAATACATCAAAATGATTAATGTAATTAAAAATTATTAATTAATATGTCACATAACAATATTATTTTGGTTGATTTAGTATTCAACCATAATATGAGCAACTAACAATTTAAAAATAATTAAAAATTATCCATCTATTACAATAAATCGAAACAAACACATGAATGTGTCCCTACATCCATTATATTCTTATACTGTGAAAAAGATAATATTTTTATTTGATTAAAATAAATATTTGTGCGGATATATTGATCAAACTCCAGTAATATTTCAGGACGATGGACCAAGTGATACGGCCGCCATACCATCAATAAAGCTTTGTTTGTCAGCCATATCTACAACCAGAACCAAAGTTTTTGTTTGGTTTTGTTCGGTTTGATTCGATTCGGTGCACCGGAGGACTAAGAGCACTCCCATCAAGAGATGATGGGGGAGAGTTCACACGTAAACCAAGAAAAAAAAATATATAAAAATCAGATTTTTATGAATTTCTCTTTCAAAACTGCGGTGAATCCCGATGATCTCGGATTCATCCTGGTCAGCATATGATTGATCCATTATTAATTTTTTTTATATTTTAAAAGGTAGATGAAAATTAAATAAAATATATTTTTTTTTATTTGTGTGAATTCCCTTCATGAATGTGGATGATCTAACTGATAAGGTGTCAAAAGAGAAGGAAGAAGTGAGAAGCGAAAAGTGATTACTTCAGTAGCCAAAGAAACGTGTTTGTTCCGTCAAAGAAAAAAGAAAAGAAATGGAAGCGGCGACGAAGCAGAGCGTTACAAACCGCCTTCTCACCGTGAAGTCAGCCTCCGGCAAGAGTTACAGCCAACTAGCGGCGGAGACAGGTCTCACCAACGTCTACGTGGCTCAGCTGCTCCGTCGCCAAGCCCAGCTCAAACCCGAAACAGTCCCTAAGCTCCGTGAAGCTTTACCTGCTCTGACAGATGAACTCATCGGCGTGATGATGTCTCCCCCGTGGAGATCTTATGATCCAAACCTTATCCAAGAACCTACCGTCTACAGGTTTTCTAGTCACGAAGTTTATTAGTTTCTTGGTTTTTAAAGTTGATGGGCTTTTTTTCTCAGGTTGAATGAAGCAGTGATGCATTTCGGTGAGAGTATAAAGGAGATTATCAACGAAGATTTCGGCGACGGCATGTAAGTTCACACTATGCTTAGTATTGTTGTTTTGGTCTGAATGGTATGAATCTTAGTATGTAAAGTCTGAGTCTTTATGGTCAATCTAAAGGGATCTTGATGTAGTATAGAATCAGTTGCTTTTTTTTTTGTTCATATGCTAAGGATTGAAGTGGAAGTTTCTTGCTTTATCAACATGGGTGTTCCTTCTCTGGTGTTATGATCATATACACAGTGTAAAAGTCTTAAGTCTATTATGGTCTTTCAAAAGGATCATTATATAATAGCATAGAATCATTTGCTCTGATTTTTTGTACATATGCCAAGGATTGAAGTGAAAGTTTCTTGCTTTATTGACATTTGGGGTTCCTTCTCTAGTGTTTATGATCATATATACACTTTGTAAGCTAAGAAACCTAGTTGTTTATTACTTTGTTGGACCTAAAACTAGACCATGTTTCGAGGCCTCGTCCGTGTCTTCATTCATCTAGTATCTAGATGCTGCATACTAACTGTTTGCTAACAGCTATAGGCTATCAATCCTCTTACACAGTCTCTTCTTGTTGTCTTCCTTCAATTTTTGTCCATCTTTTTCCTGCTTTGCTTCTCCATAAGCCAATACTATGTCTGTCATATAGGCCACATCTGGTTCTTCTTATGCGTTAGTAGAATGTTCCTTGTGAAGAAACTAGAAGCTAATATTTGTTTAGTAGTTTACTTGTGACACATAAGATTTCTACTAACCCTTTTAGAGGCTGGTTTTTTCTTTCTTAAAGAAGTAAGTGTGTATAGAGCAAAAAGAGCTGGTGCAGAATGACCCATCCACCAAGATACCTTTTGAGTCTCTGTTTGTTAGTAGTTTTTGTTATAGCTGAGCATTTTGTTACGTTGGTGTGTGTGTATTCAGCATGTCGGCGATAGACTTCTATTGCTCTGTGGACAAAGTTAAAGGAGTGGATGGTAATAACCGTGTCGTCGTGACACTTGATGGGAAGTATCTTCCTCATTCTGAACAGGTTAGCGTTTCATTCGTAATCCATGTATTTTTTTAATATATTCACAAATGTTTGAATAATTTGGGGATCATTTTGTTGCAGAGGACGGAGAATATGGTCTCAAGGCTAAACCTTAAGGGAAGTACAAGCGAATGATTTAAGAAGAAAACGATTCGTATGAATATAAGCAGCAAGCCTTTACTCCAGATATTCATGAAGGCCTTATGTCTAAAGCTGTAACATTATTGTACTATTTATGGTGTTTGTTTATCTCTACTCTATGCTACTCCATCCTCTCATGTTGAATAACAGTGAATAATATAAAAACCATGAAACCTTTCTTATCTTCGTACTCAACATTGTGTAGTTTAGTTTTGATTCATGCTGAGCATTGATTGAATAAAGTTCCTAGCAGTATAAATCATTATTTCATGATCATGTAACTCTTAAAAAAATCTAGTTGTATAGCTGAACTATAACGAGTCTTGGATTCTGGTTACTGTTGGAAACTGGAAATAGACTACAAGGAAAAGCTTGAAATGTCCATTTGTTCGATTTATCCCAATCGTTTCTAGATCCAGATTCAGCATCTGTTGATTCCACTGCAGCCAAAACAATTGACTAGACAATCATTTTCGACATGTTTTTGGGTTAATCTGCATTCATTTTTGGTCACTTTTTTCATGGTTGGCTCCTCTATGGGCCAAATCTTTTTCCTGTAGACCAATCATTGTTAGGTTTTATTATGTTCATAATTTTGTTTCTTGAGTTAGCTGATTGTTTGCTCTTGTACACAAAATTTAGAAGGTAACATTCTTCACAAAATGAAATTAGCTCATTTCAATTGCTGATGTTTTAAATAAGTAGTGCATTGAGCATAAGAGCTGGTGCAAAATGATCCGCCAAACCCTTCAACTCTGTTTATAGTACTTTTAAAGCTGAGCCTTTTGTTACTTTGTGTGGGTATATGCTTAGCATGACGGTCATAGACTTCTATTGCTATATGTAGGGGTGGGCACGGATCGGATATCCGGGTTTTTTAAAGTATTTGTGATTTGCTTCGAATGTTACGGATATCTAATTTTGGTATTTGCTTTGCTTCGAAAAAATACGGATATCCGGAAAAACAGATATCCGGAAAATAAATAGATATTTGCGGATATTTACGAATATTTACGGATATCTCATCCATTTTGATTAATACAAATAATCTTAAGATTTTGATACAAATTTGCTTTGCAAAATATTTTTTTGCATGATATATAAAATAAAAATTAAAAGAACTAGTGAATTTATATATTTTGTAATTTTTTTAAGCTTAAGTTACAATTATAATAACACAA